CTCAGAATAACAAATCACTTCAGCAGTGCAGTAAGAACGACACTTTAAAACCCTCTTGTTACACTCAATTTGCGCTTTTGTTTTCATATTTTGTAATCTGGCAATCTTTCTGCGAAAACATTTTTAATCATTCTTGAAAAATTTCCCGACCTTGTAAGTTAATCTGATTTCGCTACTCGCTTTATAGTCCATTTTTATACTGTTTTTTATTTTATTTTCTGTTTTTACATGTTATTTTTACTTATTTTTACTTTTTGTGTTCTATTTTATTTGTTGTAATTTTCATTAAAAAAAATTTTGAGTGCTCCTCACACTATTGTATTAATATATTTTGCTTTGACTATATTGATACAATATCAGAAAGCACTCTGTTTTGCGGATATAATCGTGTGGGCTAATGATAAGATTATATCGTTTTTTCCGGTTTTTTTCCGGTTTGTTAAATAAAATTTCATCCTTTTTTCTTTTTTTTTAACTGTTTGTTATTTTTTTACTTATTATTTCCCCCCTCCCTTTTTTTTTCATATATCCCTTCATATATCCCTTTTTTTTATTTGTTTTATTCTTCATTTTGAATAAAATAGTCCTAGTCTAAAATTCCTAGTCTTTATATTTCTGAAGAAATCTCAGCGGAACGATTGTACTTATTGGGTTAAATTACATCAGTGGCTTATGTTAAAGCAATAAGAAAATTTCATTTTTTCAGTCTCTCTCCCGAACCATCTGATAGAAATATTTGAACAGTTTTTAGAAGCGAGGTTTTGACCTTCGCACCCTCTATTAAAATTATTAAAATTTTAGGATTCTAACAGAATTGGTTTGAAGTTATAAGAGAAAAATATTAACTCGTTCCTTTAATTGTTTAATCTTATTCTTTAATTCTTTTATTCAATAATTGTTAATTTAACTGTAAAATCTTTTCAGAACTGTATTTTTTTGATTATTTGATTTTAAAATAAACAACATTAATAAGATTGTTTTAGTTTTAAAGCTTTAAGAAAACAGATATTTTTCTTAAATGGTGTTATGTTTCAGGTTACTACAATGCGCGCGAAACTCACTGTCGTGTTCTTATGTCCTTTTGGTGGAGTTTCTGCATTACAGTTGTTGCAGGCTACAATGGAAGTTTGATGTCTTTCATGGCTCATCCAGGATATAATCAGGCTTTACAAACAGTGCCACAACTAGTCGAGGCCATAAAATACAAGCAATTTGCAGTTGGAACTATTCGTAAATCTGCTGACTACACCATATTTAGGGTATAATGTCTTACAGTTTACAAAAATTCCTACTAAATATCTATCTGTACTAAGTTTAACATACAACCATTTTTTTTTCTTTAGGTCAAGTTATTATTTTTCTTTCATATTTTCTTCAACAGTGACAGTTCAATAAAGGCTTAATTTAAATTTTCTGAGTCATGTGTAAAAATTTTTTGATATATCTAAGAAAGATGGATTTGAAACTTAAAAACCAGAACTGATCAATGCTGTACTTGACATTTCAAAGCTACAACATCAACAAAACAACTCAAAAAACTAATACTTTCATAAATATTAAGACAAATTAAAACCAAAAATAAAAATATTTTTTAAGAATTCTATGTGAATTTCTTATTACAATACTATGTAAAAAGGCATTAAGCTGTTGTCTAGTATAAAATTCGGAAACTGATAAGGAATCAATCTTTCGTCGTGGTAGCTCAGGGGATAGAGTGTTCGCCTTCCAATGAGATGAACCGGGTTCGAATCCCATCGATGGTTGGTCGATACGGATTCCGCACCCGGCTCGCACCGACCACATTGTTGAGGTAAAATGTCCTCTGTGTATGGACGGATCATCGGTTAAAGTTCGCTCGCCGTTAGTCTAACCATGGGAGGTTTTCGTGGTTTTCTTCTCCATGTAACGCAAACGTGTGTTAGTTCCATTAAAGAAAGTCTTCCATTCAGGCAATTTTCTTGATCCAGGAGTACCCTTGTCTTCTGGATTGGATTCAAAATTACAAGTCTGCGGAATTGAACATTAGTAGTCGCAAGCCCGAAATTGGTTCGGATGTTCAACAACGGTTATTAAAAAGAAGCATCCATCTGGAAACATACGAAAGTGTTTGATAAAAATATCTCCTTTAGAAATAAAAAAAATATGACTTATCACTACACTGCCCTGCAATTTTCATACTCACACTATTATTAAGATATAGTTACATTAAACCACCCTTTTTATTCATAATGGTTCATGTTTGACTAGCCTTATGTTAGTATATCATTGGACAAATAATTAGTGATAATCTGTCATATAATAAATAATTAGTCGCAAGCACTTCACTCCCTTCTAGATATTTTAATTACAATTAAATTTTCTTAACCTTAACAAAAATTTTTGATGGTTTGATTTAAAGGAAAAAGTATTCAGCACAGTTGGGTTTTTTTTTCCATGTTTCAAATTATGAGCACGAATGATTTACTATTTTCGTTACTGACATATGCTAATTTCTCCATTGTTAAGATATGCCCTTTTATCTCTGCAAATTTTTCCAATTTCATGTTCTTGGAAATGCTCTAGTTTGTTTCAACTCATTCAAGATTATTTTCACTATTGGTTTAATTTTCTTTTTTTTTCTAAAAGCAATGTTTTAACTGATCAAGTTAACTTTTTAAACAATTATTATGTATTTTTTTAACATAAGAAGTACTTTAATGTTAGTCTATTTTCATTCACAGGACTCCGAAGAAGAAGATCTTCAAGTGATGCTTGAATCAATGGAATCAAATCCAAATAATATGGTTCCCCACGATGTGGATGGTTTACGAGAAAGCCTCATACGAGATTATGCTTACATTGGTGGAGAATTAACCGTAAAAGCAGACATTTGGGACACGAGACTCTTCTTATTTGGTCTAGATTCCTTTCTTCAGTATGGATACGCAATAGCTTTTGCTCCAGATTTCGACAACATCGAAATATTTAATAGAAAGTAAAGGAATGTTTTGTTTATAATTCGAGAACTATTCGAAGATTAGAGTGCTATTTATAATGCGAAAACTATGCAATTAGAGTTAATAATCAATAATAACTCTAAATACCTATACACTTAAAAAAAATTACCCCTATACAGCTATGACGAAACATATAGTCCTTTCTCAAGGATCTGTTCATATTAAACTATATATAACTATATATAATATTATATTATAATAATATCATATTAAACATGCAGTTTTGATCACAACACATTCAATTGATGTAATTCACGCTTACAACTTGCTTAACTTTTTACGCCACCACAAGTACTTACAACCACAACAAATTAAACTCCTACCTATCTTACGCATACATATAGGATATTTAGCCAGCCTCCAGGATAAAACCAGGATAGATAACCCTCGGATTATATTCAATTCAAATATATGGGTATTGTGACCTAACAAATTGTAATGAATCGAATCCACTGGCAACATTTCACAACAACCTAACAATAGTAAAAAACAAATGGTTTAATCCTTAAAATAAAAATAAAAATTGGCATTTTTTTATTCATGATAAATTACATTGGCATGAGATATGGACTGATTATATTTCACAAAGAAAAAAAAGAATTATTCTGTTTAAATAACATTAAAATGCTTACAAAGCATTTTTATTATCAAAGCAAATTATCAAAGCAAATAGAATAATTCTTCATACTATTCTGTTTCTCCAATCTCCTTAGAATAATTCTCCTAAATATGTAAACAAAACAAAAACAAAAAAAAATAGACATGGTATTTTAAAAGACAAAAATTTCAAGATATGGCATAAATTATAAATATTATACCGTTTTAATTATTTTGATACTTATTACAATTTATGAGGACGTAAGAGGTTTTAAAAATAAAACGATTTAATGAATATCCATGATAAATTTAAAAGAAGGTATGATCAATTTATTTGAGCATAATGTGAAGTGCATGTGCAGAATTTTCAATGATCTTACCCCTTAACGCAAAATTTTAGAAAAATTGTTGAAACTGAACTCTCTGAAATGAGCAATTTATAGGCCAGTGATGGTAATTTGAGATGTTTTTGCCCGATCATTCATTTTTTCGCCACCCGTGTATTGATAGTTTATCTGGAGTCCCTTAGTCTATATGGCAGCTAACACAAACACTGAGATGTATGATAATGCTGTTATTGAAACTATATTATATTATATTATATTACATTATATTACATTACATTACATTACATTATATTATATTATATTATATTATATTATATTATATTATATTATATTATATTATATTATATTATATTATATTATATTATATTATATTATATTATATTATATTATATTATATTATATTATATTATATTATATTATATTATATTATATTATATTATATTATATTATATTATATTATATTATATTATATTATATTATATTATATTATATTATATTATATTATATTATATTATATTATATTATATTATATTATATTATATTATATTATATTATATTATATTATATTATATTATATTATATTATATTATATTATATTATATTATATTATATTATATTATATTATATTATATTATATTATATTATATTATATTATATTATATTATATTATATTATATTATATTATATTATATTATATTATATTATATTATATTATATTATATTATATTATATTATATTATATTATATTATATTATATTATATTATATTATATTATATTATATTATATTATATTATATTATATTATATTATATTATATTATATTATATTATATTATATTATATTATATTATATTATATTATATTATATTATATTATATTATATTATATTATATTATATTATATTATATTATATTATATTATATTATATTATATTATATTATATTATATTATATTATATTATATTATATTATATTATATTATATTATATTATATTATATTATATTATATTATATTATATTATATTATATTATATTATATTATATTATATTATATTATATTATATTATATTATATTATATTATATTATATTATATTATATTATATTATATTATATTATATTATATTATATTATATTATATTATATTATATTATATTATATTATATTATATTATATTATATTATATTATATTATATTATATTATATTATATTATATTATATTATATTATATTATATTATATTATATTATATTATATTATATTATATTATATTATATTATATTATATTATATTATATTATATTATATTATATTATATTATATTATATTATATTATATTATATTATATTATATTATATTATATTATATTATATTATATTATATTATATTATNGTATATTATATTATATTTGGGGTAAGGCCACTTTCTCTTCCAGCAAAATAGCTGGTACATTCACGTATCGAGACTTGAGAAGTCATGGTTTAAAGAAATGGATGTTCAAAAACTAGATTGAACTTCTCAGAACTCCGATCGTCCCTTAAAGCATCTTCAGGACGAATACGAACGCACATTATATAGCCTGTCATATTGACCATCTTCATTACCAGTACTCACTTTAGTAGTGATGAATACCTGAAAGACAATACCTGTGGCCATCTATCAAAAGCTAGTCCCCAGACCTCTGCTAGAGGCCATTAATCCAAAAGGAGAACAGCCGAGTCCATACCACTCTGTGTCCCGATACTTTTGGCCAAGTAGTATACTCTTGGAACTGTTAACCTTTAAAATTCTAGTTCTCTGACTCGTTCAGAAAATGAATAGTCCTTGCGTTCAGTGCCTACTATTTGTCAGTGATCCAATAAGGCAGATTGACCACAAGTTTTACCCACAGGGTAGTAAAAACGACTGGTTAACAACGACAACAATACTGGCTACAGTTACAGGGAATGCCCTTACTGGGAAATAAATGAGGCACAGTGCTACAATTTTAGCAATGTGTATACCTTAGTCAATGGCACCTCCATCGCGATAGCACAGAGAATAACGCATTAAACTAACATTGTAAGGGATCGAGATTCGACCCCTGGTGGCAGTTAAAAGCCCAGCCAAATTCTTTTAGATATGTACCAACTTGAAAGCAAAGTCGATCAGTACTCAATGATCGCCATATTGCTGCCATCTAACCATTAGCTATGAAATTGAGGAGTCGTACCATCCATGACTCCCTAGTCTAGAATAGGCAATTGCCGAAGTGCTTAACTTTTATATATTTTAAAAAATAATTTTTTTAATTATATATTGAAGAAAAATTAAGAGATATTCTATGCCTAATGCATTTTCATTGTATTCAGAATATTGCAGCTCAGAGAATCAGGTGTTGTAGACAAATGGATTGAAGATATTATTGAAAAAAGTCAACTTCGAGGACTGTTCGATGGATCGGAATCAGAAATCATCGACAGCGAAGAATTAACTCACATATTACGAGTAGACGACGTTCAAGGTGCTTTTGCTCTATTGTGTATTGGATATGCTGTAGCTGGTGCGTCATGCGTAATTGAGGTGCAAGTTAAAAGGTAATTTTTTTCCTAACAATTTTACAAATATTTTATGAGATGTTAATTGCACCAAGGGAATTCCCAAATGTTGATTCTATTATATTTGTAGAAATGCAAAAACCCATATGTATTATATTTAGTTATTTCAGTGTTTTTACATATTAAAATATGAATGTTTTCGGGTATTTTTGTTTAAACGCCAAATAAATCGTCACTTTTTTGTGAACTCCTGGAAAAATTTTGCATGCACATTTCACACCAGCTTTCCTACTTGTTCTTGAGGAAACGTTTTTTTTCCCAGTCATTGGTTCACGATCGTCAAAAATTTGAGAACTTTATAAACTTAGACGTAGTCGTAGGAGGGCACACTTTTTGTTTTTGGAAAACTCTTCATCTGTGTTAAAATTTATGCTTGCATTTATTTGTAAATATACATGCATATGTAAAAACAAATATACATATCTACATAAAACTTAAAATTTACGAACAGTTTTCTAAAAATGAAAGGTGTGTCCCTCTCACGCTACGTCTATGCCTTTATACTCCCAAAATAAACCCTGAAAAGTACTGTGGAATGTAGCAGTCAGGCACAAGCCTAAGCAGCTGGGCACAAGCCTCACCTTGTCTGGTGAATGAGGTGAAAGCGTTAGCTTTTTATCTGTTCACCAGCATTATCAACAGGTGATGAGGTTGTGAAGATGGTACGCTGTGTTCCATGTTGTTTGTCGTTGCATGGTGCAGCATTCGTAATTTAATATTAATTTAATCTTAATCTGAATAAATATGTTGTAAATATATAATTTTATCACTCATTGCTTATTTTTACTCAATATGAAATTATGTCGTTAATTTAAATATACTTACAAGTTCCTCCACACCTTAACATTGGTGAATTGGACATAGAACACTAAAGAAAAGATGAAACTCAATAGGTATTTCAGAACTAAAGAAGAGATATTTATAACATTTTATGCCTGTTTAAATAACATTAAAATG